TAAAAGTAAAAAGAGAGTCCTTGCTCTCAGGAAGCTAATGGAGAAAATAACACGCAAACTCTATACAAACAAGCTATATACAAAATAAATTGGAAATAATCAACATAGGGAACAGAAAGCACTAGAATTAAGGGGGATTGGGAAAAGCTTTGTGTTGAAGATGAGATTTTAATTGTAAATTGAAGAAGCTCAGGAGTTGGAGATGAGGAGGGAGGGCATTCCAGGCATAGGGGACAATCAATGAAAATGCCTTATGTTGGAAAAATGCATGTCTTGTTCAAGGAATAGCACTTCTACCTTGAGTTCTCATTCTGCTTTTCAGCTGCCCGTATCTCCAACTCTGTCCCACTACTATTACTTTAAACTTTGCATATCCCAAACCAAACTAATTTATCCCTAAAACTTGCCTTTCTGTCTGACTTCTTTATTAAAATTAGTGGTACCACAGTCTTTCCAATAACCCAGTTTCTAAACCTCACAGTCATTTTTGACTCTTAACTTTCCTGCTTTCTCCCTTCTTTTCATTAGTCAGTTTCTAAGTCCCATTGGCTTTGTCCTCTGCATTTTGTCTCATATTTGTGCCTTCTCCATAGAGTGCAGCCATTTTATTGCAGTGCCCCAGTAGTTTTCAACTAAACATTCGCCTCTTACTTAGTTTGCTTGCTCCATACAAATTCCTAATTCTGCCATTCAAAGCTGACTACAAACTCCAGTGTAATTCTCCAACCTTAACTTGCACTACTACTCTTCATGTACCAACATTCTAAACAGACTGGACTATTCTTGTTGCTAGTTCTTGTCTCACCTTTGCTTACACATTCCTGGAATAGACTCCTTTCCTCTTTTAGCTGATTGAAACACTGCCCTTCCTTCAAGGCCCAACTCAGGTGCTATCTCCTTCATGTTCCTTGTACGTTCCAGCTGAAAGTGCTTTCTCTAATCTCAAATTTCTGAGAGTACTGTGAACTCTCCCTTGCTGCCATTACATGCTACTATACGTGTTGAACTGTTCTATATTATTAGCTGTTTGTTACTAAGTCTTTGTTATTTAATTGTATCTCTGTTGCTTATCATTCATAGTGCAGTACCATACATATCAGAAACACCTAAGTATTGACTTGACTAATAATATTGGACATGGCTTTCTTGGAAATTACATAGATATATGATGCTATTAGGGCAGCTAGGGGGTGCAATGAGCACTGGGCTTGGAATTAGGAAGGCTCATCTTCATGAGTTAAAATCTGGCCTCAGATGCTTACTAGCTGTGTGACCCTGGGCAAATCACTTAATCCTATTTATCTCCGTTCCTCATCTGTAAAATGAACTGGAGAAGGAAATGGCAAAGCACTTAAGTATCTTTGTCAAGAAATCCCAAATAGGGTTTTATTGATAGAATCTGATATCTGTGGTGGACTTAATCCAAAATCATTAGTGATGAAAATACTATTTGTATTTGGCTTTGGATAATTTCTTAATTTTAAATATAAGTCTTTCTGAAATTCACAATACTTTAAAAGAAATAATGGCTTGGTGGCACATACCTGTTATCCCTACTACTAGAGAGACTGAAACTGGTGGATAGTTTAAGCTTAGAGATTATGATCTGCTGTAGGCTGAAATGATTTAGAGTCTCTGCGCAGCATTAGTATGGTGAGCCTCCAGAGTAGGAGTGGAGGACAGGCATCAGGCTCCTCTAGGAAAGACAAACCAATTCAGGTTGGAAACAGTCAGACCTCCAATGTTGACCAGATTGAATTGGGCCTATGAGTAGACCCTGTACCTCTCAATTTGGATGAGAAAGGGAGACCCACTCTCTCTCATCCTCTCTAGCTTTAAAAAAGAAGAAGATAGAATGAATTAATGAATTGAACAAACTGTGTTATAAACAAACTTAGGTTATAATGGAACAATTACCTTTTTTTTTTTGTTTCCTCACATTGTGGAGTTTCTTTAGATTGTGGACTTTGTCTGTGTTCTGGATTTTGACTGCCTTATCTCTTGATTGATACAAAGAAGCCATCTAGAGCAGAACTAAGCTTTCTAACCAATCCATAGTTGGTGACTGGAGGCAATTATTTTCCTTTTGAATCAAAGTAAACATGGACCGTGTCATTCTTGCCTTGCTTTGTTTAAGAGAAGCATTCCTAGAAAGTCATATATAAAAGAATTGAATGCCAGTATTATTGAAGTGAATTTTTAAATAATGTGAAATTTACCTGTTTAGGCGGTTATAAGATCACTTCATGTATTATTGAGTTTGCTGGGGGAGTCATTACATTTCCTTAAAGGAAGTTGTCCTATAGATTTACTTTTCTCAGTTATATCATTTATTAGTTTTATGTCTCTTTTAGTCTTTCTGTTTCTTATTCTCTTTATTTTTCAGTCCCTTTTGTTCATAGGCATTTGTATCTGTTGTTTAATCTTCCTTTGACTTCACCGTTAAGTTCTTATTCCCTATTTTTGCCACCTGCCAACACTTCTTCACCACTGTACCCTCTAAAACCACTATCAAAGGAAGATAATATTCTATTACAAACAAAAACTTCCTATTTTTATATAAGAACATATTCCGCCTTATAGTGATATTATTTTAATAATCCCTTATAGTATTTTCATACACTAAATACTTACCTACCTTTCTCATTCCTTCATTTGCACTGTCTCCAGAATATTCTGCTGTCATCTTGCCTCTTGACTTCATTTCTCTCCTCCTATCCTAGTAGGAGGTAACCGTTATACTACCATCATTACGGATTAGTTTTACCTAAGATTTAAACTTCTTTTCCAACTGTTGACTCATGAAGTCACTTTTAGTTTGCAATCAATTATTTCTCTCACACTATGCATTTGTCTATTAACATCATTAGTGCTGTTGCCTTCTTGTTTACTGGACTTTGCTTTTGCATTGAACTTAATGATCATGTCTTCTTACCTGCTTACCTCCTTCGGGTACATTGTTGCCTCTGTTAATTTCTCTATATCTGTGTTTTAGAGTTCTGTGGTTAACTTTGAGCCAAGGTACATAATTTTGTGCACGTACTGAGAGCATAAACTCAATAGTGTAAAATAATCATGCCATTCTTTAGGATCTACTCCATGGCAGAGAATGTGCCACTAGAAGGTATGGATGTAAGAAGCAACATTAAAAAGGAGCAAATTTGAACCATTTTAAGTCTTTGCTATTTATAGCTAGTTATAATTTTTGTGTGTACTTACTATTTGTCAATAAAATTATTTTAAGATAATTTTTAAAATAAGATTTTAGGCAAGTAGATAATGTCAAATATGAATTAAGACATTGCCACATACGGTATATTTGCGTTTTGTTGCAAAAGAGTTGTGCTGAAATACTTTCACATATTTTTGAATTAGTTTCCTGTCATCTAGATAATTAACTATTAATATTTCTTAGTGATGCACACAGCATTGAAACCACGGGTTATTTTTTTCCTGCTCTCTCAGTGATCCAATTCTTTAGAAGTTTAACATGTATTTTCTTAGATCTTTTTTCTTATTTGTTGTTAGGTAATATTAATATTCTCTCCTTACCTGCTATCATCAAAAGCTCTTAAATGTATTATTGGAATAATCCAGTCAGAAATCCTAGGCTTTACTTATTGCTTCCTTTTAGCCACTCCCAATTTTGGTGCCTTTCCAATGATTTCGATTATGAGTTAGGGAAGTAAAGATATAACATTTGGATTTGTCTTTATTGGTTTAGGTTTTTTTATGTCATCCTACTAGCATATTATGAGTAGCAATTACAAATAAAAAATCTCTCTTTAATATTACATATCTCCCCTCCTGGATCTAGACAGCATTGTGTACTTAGGGTTATGTACCTTTATATATACCACATACAAGTTGTGTCTTCTTCTGTACAGAAATGAGCAATAGCAAGGTGTAGTAGAAAGGGAGGGTCCTGGACTTGAAGTCAGGAGAGACTTGGATCAGAATGTTACCCCCAATACTTACTAGCTCAATGACTGTGAACAAGTAACTTAACCTTGTTAAGGTAACATCCATAATTTCTTCACCTGTAAAATGAGAACTTATAATTATTGTTTCAAGGTCTTTTTTTCTGAGGTTTCAATCAAGTAATGTTTGTGTAACACTTTTTGTATCTTAAAGTGACAGATTAATGGACTTTTAAGACTAGTCTTAAGTGATTTTGTTGAATATTTGCCTGTTTAATTTGTTACAATGCTTCCTCTCATTTTTCATATATTCTTATATATTTTTATTTCTCATTTACTTTCCTGTTATTGCTAAGCCATTTTAAAATATCACTTTGCCTAGAAGGATGGATTATGTGTAGTGAACAAGAATGCCATTGACATAGTATGTTGGAAGTAAGAGTTTTCAAATGCACCGGCATTTAAACTATCATTCAAATATTTCTATTTGTTTTAAAATAACTTTTCCCATGTGCCTGGAATGTGTTAGGTATGGGAAAAATGGAGGACCTGAGGAGAACTTTTGGAATTTCTTAATGACCTCTATTCTGGGATTTTTTAGAATTTTAATTTTAAAAGGGACTTTAGAGGAAGACAAGTCTTATAAATTGTTAAAGTTACTTAATAGTGCTAATTCCTACATTTGAAAAAATTGTTCATGAACATTGGTCTTGGGAAATATTTTAGTAATTTAAATAATAGAAAATTGATCAAACTATTTGTTCATAGAGTAACTCTTTTTCTCTTGATACTTAAATAGGCAATGGTTTCTTTTAGTCTAGTGAATTTATTGTTTATCATCATTTGCCCTTTAAAAACAATAGAAACAAACAACTCTTAGTTATGCAATAAGTACCATTTATAGTAATACTAATATTTTTTAGCAAGATCTCAGATTTGATCATTTTCTATGTAGGATGTGTGCAATTATTTATAAAACTTGATAAGGTTGAATAAAAGAACTGAATTATTAAGTTGTATATTCTTTTTCAGCTTGATCAGTTACTGTTGTTTTGAGTAATAAGTAACCTTTAATTTTAGGACACTGGAGAAGTAGGATGGTGGAAAGGTGAACTTAACGGTAAAGAAGGAGTGTTTCCAGACAACTTTGCTATTCAGATACACGAACAAGATAAGGACTTTCCAGTAAGTAAAGTGTTCTTGGTTGATTATAATTCTTCAATTAAAACATGGATATTTTGCCAGCATTTTTTAAAGAACATGTTGTTGCATTGTCATTGAATGTTGCATTGTCAAATTGAATGAATAATGTGAAGCTGCTGGATTTATATATTTGTTTAAATTATGTTTTGAAATGTTAGTCACGGTCAGTATTTGTAAAAATGCATCATTTGGGGGCAGGTAGGTGGCACAGTGTATAGAGCACCAGCCCTGAAGTCAGGAGGACCTGAGTTCAAATCCAGCCTCAGACCAGACACTTGACACTTACTAGCTGTGTGACACTGGGCAAGTCACTTAATCCCAATTGCCTAAATAAAAAAAAAAAATGCATCAGTTGAATGTGCTTCACACCAAGTTATTTGAGTCTTAAGTGCTTTTGTACACACAGACTCTCTTTCTCTCTCTCTTTCTATTTTTCTCTCTCTCCCTCTCCAAGTGTACATAAAAGCATACTGGAAAGAGTACTTAGTTTGCGGTCTAATGACCTACGTTTGAATCCAGACTCTACTTGTTACCTTGGGGGAAGGTCATTTAAAATCTTCCTTCAAATTTCTTCTGTAAAGTAAGGAATTGTACTGGACTCTTGTCTTTCCTAGTTCTAATTCCTATGCAGTGGTTTCCTATTGCCTCTAGGATAAAACATAAAGGCTTCAATTTTAGCTTTTGAAGCCTTCTACAACTTGGTCGCACCCTTTTTTGTCTTCATTGGACATTAATCCCCCTCCTACACTCTTCAGTCCACTAACTGCTTTTCTCAGTATATTATACACAGCACTTTATATCCTTTTTCCAAGCCTTTGCATTGACCCTCCCTCATGCCTAACGTGTATTCCCTCCTTACCCTTGTTACCCCTGTTTTAATAGTCTGTTCCCTTGGGTTGCAGCTCAGGAGTCCATCATCTACATGAAGCCTTTCTTGATCCTGCCAATTCCCTTGCTCCCCCAAACTATCTTTTTTTTTTGTCTACTTTGTATATATTTATTAACTTTGTATTTATATGTGCTTGTTTCCTCCATTCCATTAGAATGTAAGCTCATGACAAGTAGGGATTGTTTTATTCGTTGCATTATATTCTCAGTCCCTAGCATGGTGACAGGCATATAGGTGCATAATAAATATTTGTTGATTGATTAATCTGATACTCTATTTTTCAGCTTATTTTTCTTATTGTCTATGAACTAATAGTCTATGCATCATATTATTTCTTGAAATACTTAAAAATGTTGTCATAAAGTCTCAACTTAGAAGTCTAAAAATTCAAAGGTATTTATGATTTTTAGTAAATACTAATTATATAATGAAATTGCAAGTAAAATGCATATCATAAAACTTCAAACTTTTATGTTATGTAGCAGTTTCAGAGTTTTGCTGACAACATGCTTTGTATTAGTAATTAGGTCTTTTTTTTCCCCACTAGTTGTACTATTTTAAAAAAACAAATCCTCTGTGGCATGTTCTTTATTAAATCCTTTTTAAAAAAACTACTTCTTTTCCCCTCCCTAGCAATAATCTTCCTTCTTCTACTAAGACACAGTATGCTGATGACTTCCAGTTCCACTAAGAATTTAGGCGATATTTTTCTTTTTTTTTTCCTTTTTCTCTTTTAAAAAAAAAAAAGATTTATTTTTAATATTATTTTTAAAAAATTTAGTTCCAAATTCTTTCCCTCCCTCTCATTTCTCTACCCATTAAGAAGCCAAACAATGTGATATCGATTATACATGTGAAATTATGCAAAACATTTCCATATTGGCACCCCCCCTCCTCCCCCAAAAAAGAAAAAGACAAGAAAAATAGAGTGAAAAAATTTTACTTCAATTTGTAATCAATTCATCAGTTCTCTCTCTGGAGGTGGATAGCATTTTTCATCATGAGTCCTTTGGAACTGTCTTGGATTAGCACCATGTCTTTCACAGTTGATCTTTTAACAACATTGCAGTTACTATGTACAATGATCTCTCAGTACTTATCTCTTGATTTTGTATTAGGTCACATAAGTCTTGCCAGGTTTCTCTGAAACCACCCTCCTTGTCATTTCCTGCAGCACAATAATACTCTTATTACAATCAAATGCCACAACTTATTCAGCCTTTTCCTGATGGATGGGCAATCCCCTCAATTTCCAATTCTTTGCCACCATAAATTTTTTACATGTAGTTTCTTTTCCTTTTTCTTTTAATAACTTTAGAGTGTAGGCCTATTAGTGGTATTGTTGGGTCAAAGTATATGCAGTTTTAGAGATCTTTGGACAAAGTTCCAAATTGATTTTCAGAATGGTTGGACCAGTTCACAACTCCACCAACAGTTCATCTAATTTCTTTTTCCAAATTTATTATTTATTTGGTTTTAAAGTTTCTTTTTTCCCTTTTTGAACTTTGAGTTCCAATTTTGAGTATTTAAATTTTGAGTTCCTCCCTCCCATGCCCACACCCACCTACTTAGAAGGCAAGCAATATGATATCAATTATACATGTGAAATCATGCAGAAAACATTTCCATAATAGCCATATTGCAAAAAAATAAAAAGGAAGAAAAATCAAGAAAATGAGAAAATTATATTTCAGTTTGCACTCAGGAGTTCATCAGAGCTCTCACTGGAGGTGGATAGCATTTTTTCATCAAGTCCTTTGGAATTGTCTTGGATCATTGTGTTGATCAGAGTAGCCCAGTGTTTCGCAGTTTATCATTATTACAACATTGCTGTTTACTGTTCACAATGATCTTCCAATTCTTCTCACTTCATTTTGCATCAGTTCAGATATGTCTTACCAGGTTTTTCTGAAACCACCTCCCTTGGCATTTCCCACAACACAGTAGTGCCCCATCACAATCTTATACTGCAACTATTAAGCCATTTTCCGGTTGATGAGCATCCCCTTGATTTCTAGTTCTTTGCCATCATAAAAAGAGCTGCTATAAATATTTTTGTACATATTTTATTTTCCTTTTTCTTTAATCTTTTTAGGGTCCAGACGTAGTAGTTGTGTTGGTAGGTCAAAGGGTATGCACAGTTTTATAGCCGTTGGGGCCTAGTTCCAAATTGTTCTCTAGAGTGGTTGGACCAGTTCACTACTCCACCAACAGTTCATTAATGTACTTGTTTTCCTCTCATTCCTTCTAGCATTTGTCATTTCTTCTAGGTGTGGGTGGTACCTCAGAGTTGTTTTAATATGCTTTATTCAATCAATAGCGATTTAGAACATTTGTAATATATAACTATATACATACATATATATATTTAAAACTTTTATATATAACTATAGATAACTTTCATTTCTTCTTCTGAAAACTGTCTGTTTAAATTCTTTGACCATTTATCAATTGGAGAATGGCTCTTATTTTTATAAATTTGACTCTGTTCTGTATTCAGTATGTATTTGAGAAATGAAACCTTTATCAGAGAAACCTGCTATAATAAAAAAGATTTTGTACTATTTCATTGTTTGTAGTATTTTTTTTTTAAAGCAAAGCATAGTTTCCCTGATTTTTCCTTTTAATTAGGTCTGTTTTTGTTTCTTCTTTGTCTGAGATCATGATTGCTACCCTTGCCTTTTTTTAGTTCAGCTGGCATATTAGATTCTATTCTAGCCCTTTATTTTAACTCTGTGTGTGTCTTTTTCTTTCAAATGTGTCTCTTGTAAACAGCGTATTATTGGATTCTCATTTCTAATTCATTCTGCTCTATGCTTTTTTTTTTTATGGGTGAGCTTATCCCATTCATATTCACATTCACATTCACAGTTATGATTATTGTGTATTTCTCTCCACTCCTTTTTCTTCTGCTTCTTTTTCTCTTTTTATTCTGCCCCTCCTCAAAAGTCTTATTTTGTTTCTACCACTTCCTTCCTTAATCTTTCTTCCTTTTTATTATCTTTACACCCTGCTTACTTTTTCTTATCCCATTCCCCTCCTATTTCTCTATTGGGTAAGTTACATTTCTATACACAACTGGGTGTGTGTATATATATTCTTTCTTCTTTCAAGCAATTTTGATGAGTGAGGTTTAACCATTGCTTGCCACTCTCCTCCTGATTTTCCCTTCTGTTGTAAAAGCTTTTTCTTGTGTCCCTCTTTTATGAGAGAAACTTTTACCCATTCTACTTCTCCTTTCCACCTTCTCCCAGTACATCCCTCTTTCTCACCCTTTCATATTTTTGTAGATCATTCCAACATAACTGACTCACATTCATGCTCTCTATGTGAACACCTTTTAACTACCTTAATAATGATAATGTTCTTAGGAGTTAGATGTATCATCTTCCCAATTAGAAATGTAAACAATTTCACTTTATTGAGATCCTTATGATTACTCTTTCATATTTACTTTTTTATGCTTCTCTTGAGTCTTGTGTTTGAATGTCAGATTTTCTATTCAGCTTTGGTTTTTTCATCACGAATGTTTGAAAGTCCTCTATTTCATTAAATTTCAACTTTTACCCTTGGATGATTATACTCAGTTTTACTGGGTGGATTATTTTTGGTTATAATCTTGCTCCTTTCTCTTCCAGAATATCATATTCTAAGCCTTCTATTTTTTTTAATGTGGAAGTTGCTAAATCTTGTGTGATCCTGACTGTGGCTCCACAATACTTGAATTGTTTCTTTCTGGCTATTTGCAATATTTTTTCCTTGACCTGGGAGTTCTGGAATTTGGCTATAATATTCCTGGGAGTTTTCATTTTGGGATCTCTTTCAGGAAATGATCAGTGGATTCTTTCAATTTCTATTTTACTCTTTGGATCTAGAATTCTAGGGTAGTTTTTCTTCTTAATTTCTTGAAATTTGATGTCTAGGCTTTTTTATTGATGACTTTCAGATAATCCAATAGTTCTTAAATTATCTCTCTTGGATCTATGTTCCAGGTCACTTGTTTTTCCAGTGAGATAGTTGACATTTTCTTCTATTTTTTTTTATTCTTTTGACTTTTATTTATTTGTTTGTTCTTAGTTTTCAACATTCACTT